CTGTTTTTGATAATTTACCGTCCTAATCAAAATTGTAAGTTTATCCAATTTACTTCCGTGAGGACCCCTCACTGTTTATAATGTCTTCAGCTATTTCAAAATAAATCTGTACTTTTAAGATCTGAGTTAAAATGAGCTTTTCCTACTAATAATGTCTTCAAAAAGTTATTCACAATCTTGTTATTTAATCTCAAAACATTTAAAAACTAAACTTGTAAAAATTCTTAAGGTTTTCCTCATTTTAACAGGCATATGGAGGTTATGTCACTTCCATGATTCTTAGTTCCACTGACAGAATCTTCAAATGTGGAGTTGCAGTAGCACCAATTACCGACTGGAAGTTATATGGTAAGTAAACAACAAAAATCATAAGTCATTTCAAGTAATTAGTTCAATGCTACAATTCAGATGTATTCCTTACCAACAGATCCAAAATGACAAATCTCTAGTTTTATTTTGGTTCTTTACTATGGCAGACAAAACATTAGGGTTTGAATTCAACTTTCTCAATGGCTCAAAAGGAATGGTATTACATTGTTTATCTGCATCACATACTGACCATTGTTTTACATTGGTGTATATCAGTGGTCAACGTACTTCTGTCCAACATGCATTTCAATATCATCAGTACCCGACATTGGTCTTAGTCTACATTTCATTGCCTATGCAAATAATGAGCCCCACACCTCTTTGAAACCAGAATAAATATTCAGTAGTTTTTCTTTTGCTTTACTAGATGCCAGCTGTCAGAATATTAAATCTTATGCAAGGGTTCAAGTTCAGCTTGCCTTGACACCCAGCAGTTGGCCCTTAAATTGTGCCACTACAATGTAAAAATCTTCACGAAAAAGATACAACCAAGTCTGGCGTGGAGTGAAACAAGAATGATCCTTCTTTATTCTGGCTTCCGTACTCCCTGAGCACACCAATCAATATCCCCTTTCCTGAACTGATGATCTTCTTCCAGATATGACCGCATCCCTTCCCAACTCACTCTGGCCTGCAGTCTTCCCAAATCACCAGCTTCTGCTTACCCGAGGACTATTGTTAGTATGGCAGCAGCTCAATCTTTGAATCCTCTTGACTGGTGCACCAATTGGTGTGGATTGAAGCTACCAAGCAAATCAATTTCAAGCAATCTCATAACAATTATTTATCAAATCTATTCTGCTCATCTAGTGTGTACTGACAGAGATGAGTCAATCTCTGGATTTCTAATGATGCAGTGAACATCCATTGTGCTTGGCCTTGAGGCATAAATTCTGTTCATTTTGTGGAAGATATGTGTTTTCAAGATGTTCCCCTGCATTTTATTGGAGAGGTAGCAATAGTGTGCCCTCACATTTGTATGATGATACTATGGAAACATCAGTTTTGCTTTCTAATTATCTGCATATTTGGATGCTGTTGCCAAAAAATTAGTTAACATTGATAAAAATTATTTGCAAATGCTCACCTTTTGATTCAATGATTTTTCTTTTACTTTGCTTGCTGTCAAAAGATCAGAATATTCAATCTATGTGAGTGCTCACAGAGGAAACATGCATAGGGATTTTATGGAGATACATAAGACGATAAGAAATAGGAAAAGGAGTAGGCCATTCAGCCCCTCAAGTGTGCTCTGCCATTCATTAGGATCATGGCTAATCTGACATTCTTCATGTCCACTTTCCTGCCTTTTCCCCATAACCCTTGATTCCCCTATGTATAACTGTGTAAAATTGTGTGAACAAATGTTTAGATCTTAGAGAAATCAAATTCCTTGATTTTTGTGAGTTTATGAGTTCAAGAACATGAGATAATTTAATAAATTGGAGTTGATAAGCCACAGATAATGTGTTTTTGAAAGTGATAAACACCTTTTCATGTACCATAACTTCTGCTTTCAGATAAGAGTGTATGTTCATGACTGTCTTGAGAAATTCTGAATGTCAGTCATTTATCTTCTTCTCCTATTGACTGTTCAACACCTTTTTTTGGACAGTAATTGTTGAACTGCCATTACAATTGATGATATGCTGAACAATCCTCAATGGATCCAGTCACAGGTTATTTATTGAAATGAAAATGAGCTAATTTCTCAGCCAGACACTCATCACTCTACCCATGGTTGTGTTATATCAGACTCTGCTGCCCCCTCCCACATCTTTTGACCACTGACATAAAAACATTTAACTTTGTACGAGTAGATGGGTTTTAAACGAGGTAAAATCTCATTCATCTACGCAAAGGCAAAGCAAATGAGCAAAATTACAGAGGGTATTTTGTTTCATTACATCTTTAACCTAGAGTTAGCTGGCGTGTCACCTTTCTAAATCATGAATTTAAATTGCAAGTAAATGGCAACTGTAAAATTTTAAAGCTGGATAATAATTAACTTCTCCATTTTCTGTGGATTCTTTTGTAACCATTATTCAGTTCATATTGATGATGGGAAGTAAAATTGCAGTTTCATACCAGACTAATAACTGCAGTGAGAATGGCTAATGAATATGGCAATAATAGATTCTTTTAATGTAACCTTGATTATATTGTTCTTGCCCTGTTGCTTTTCTAGCATGAGGTTGCATTCAAATGCTACTCAACGTGTCTTGATTAGCACAGAACGAGATGGCACGTTAGTACTGCCTCTTGAGAAATCAGTCCATGGATTTAAATTTTATTTTAAATCAAGCTTAATGTTCAGTCATGTTGTTAGCCACAAATTAATGATTCAGTAAAATAGCAAAGATTGATACCTCAAAACTGGCCTCTTAATAGGTTACTGAGCGAAATGGGAAACGCTGAGGGTTCAAGTCAATTACTGTTTATTATTCAACATTGCTTCACAAAGATGAAGATACCATACAAACGTCGATTAAATTAACTTTTCTTCATATAGCTTCAGCATTTACAGAACGATATCTTGGATTACCATCACGAGATGAAATCATTTATCAAGTGAGTTCTTTATACATTTTGAGTGTTGATTCAATTATTTCACTTTTAGAATAGAATTTCAATACGTAATCCCACCCAAAATTGAAAAGGATGTAGATGAGAATGCCTAAAAATCCAGGTTTTAAGACCAATCACCATGTCAAGTAAGACATAGCCAGAATTGCAGATGCTAGAGTGAGAGGTAACACACTATGGAGCTGGAGGAACACAGCAGGCCAGGCAGCATCACAGGAGCAGGAAAGTTGACATTTCGGGTCGGGACCCTTCTTCAGAAATGGGGAGGGGGAAGGGAGCTGGGAAATAAATAGAGAGAAGAGGGGTGGGGCTGGTGGGATGGTGGTAGGTGAGTGCAGATAGGGAGTGGTGGGGATTAGTTAGTGGGATGGGTGGGGCAGATAGGTGGGAGAGAAGATGAGATAATACTGTGTGGAGCTGGAGGAACACAATAGGGCAGGCAGCATCATAGGAGCAGGAACGCTGATGTTTTGGGTTGGGACTCTTCTTCAGAAGAAGAGTCCCGACCCGAAACGTCAGCTTTCCTGCTCCTCTAATGCTGCCTGGCCTGCTGTGTTCCTCCAGCTCCACACTGTGTTATCTCTGACTCCAGCATCAGCGGTTCTTTCTATCTCTGGGAGAGAAGATGGACAAGTTGTGTCAGGTCAAGGAAGTGGGGATGAGAGGGAGGCTTGGAAATGGGATGAGGCCGGGGGAGGAGAGATTTTAAAACTGGTGAATTCACCCACCCACCTGCAAGAGTGCGAACCCCTACTCCCAATTCTTCCGCTGCGTCTGCTCTCAAGGTGGGGTGTTCCACTCCCGTACACCTCTTGCATTTCTGGCATTTCTGCACTGACATCCCCTCCACCCAACAAAAATAATGACAGGATCCCCCTTGTCCTCACGTATCACCCCACCAACCTCCACATCCAACATATCATTCTCCACCACTTCCGCCACCTACAATCCAACCCCACAACCAAAGAGATACTTCCCTCCCCATCCCTATCTACCTTTCAAAGGGACTGCTCTCTCTGCAACTCCCTCATCCTCTCCACACTCCCCACTAATCCCACCACCCCCAGCACCTTTCCCTGCAATCACAGGAAGTGCTACACCTCCCCCTACACTTCCCCCCTCACCTCCATTGAAGACACCAAACAAACCTTCCATATCAGACAGAGGTTCATCTGCACATCCGTCAACTTGGTCTACTGTATCCGCTGCTCTCGATATGGCCTCCTCTACATCAGTGAGACCAAGCGTAGACTCGGAGACCGTTTTGTTGAGCATCTGTGCTCTGTACGTGACAACAACAATACCTTCCGGTCGCCAACCATTTTAACTCCCTGTCCCACTCCCTGGGTGACATGTCCATCTTGGGCCTCCTCCAGTGTCACAATGACACTACCTGCAAACTGGAGGAGCAACACCTCATATTCCACCTTGGGAGCCTACCGCCCGATGGTTTAAACATGAAATTCACCAGTTTTAAAATCTCCCCACCCCCAGCTCATCCCATGACCAACCCTCCCTCTCATCCCCACCTCCTTGACCTGACACAACCTGTCCATCTTCTCTCCCACCTATCAGCCCCACCTATCCCACTGACCAATCCCCACCACTCCCTACCTGCACTCACCTATCACCATCCCACATACGTTCCCAGCCCTACCCCTCCTCTATTTATTTCCCAGTTCCCTTCCACTTCTCCATTTCTGAAGAATGGTCCTGACCCAAAACGTCAACTTTCCTGCTCCTCTAATGCTGCCTGGCCTGCTGTGTTCCTCCAGCTCCATACTGTATTGACCATGCCAAGCAAGATGTTTAAATCACATCTCTCAGATTGGTACAGGACAGTTCTTTGCCTCCTATATATGCAAATATCCATGGGTCATATGGTCAGCTGATCTGTTTTCTACTACTGTATCCCAATGCTGCCAATTCAAAGGTGGTAATAGATCCCAGGAAGCAGTGATAAAAGCCCCAAGCTCCTAAAGTGAAAAAAAAGACATTATCCTTTCTCCTTGGATTTAATTCTGTCCCTAACACTTTTACATTACAGACCATGATCTCTTCCTAATATAATTGAAAAAAATCTTGATATTGATGCAACACACACAAGTTTCCTCATCATGCTGAAATTCCTGCCAGGAGCCCACTGCACTTATACAATCAGCTTCAATCCAGCATAGTTAATTGGGGCTGGGATGGATACACATTCCAGATTAAAGCCCGGTCTGCTGAAACTCCACCCAAGAAGGAGATGAGCATTTATTTTATTTTTCACAGCTAATTCCCTTATAGTTTTTTTTTTAATTTTGTGTGTGTATTTGGAAGCAATAATTATGTTTTAATATAAATAATCAAGTAATACTGTGCTTAACATTCATGTTAGTAACTCAATTTTTGTTTTATTGCAGGAATCTAGTGTGTTACAAAATGTTAATGAAATCAAAGATGAGAGTTTCATGATTGTACACGGCACTGCTGATGGTAAGACTTACTGCAGCCTGTCTCTCATATTCGAGCATACACTGTTGGCTATCTCCCCAAAATATCTTACAAGGTGTTTGGATAGTGGCTTCAAAATGATGATATTAGAGTCATTTTTGTATCCAAGGTTTTGGATATGTTGAACAAGTTGAACATGTCTTAATTTTGTCGAAGTAACAAATGACACATGCACAAAGATCCCCAGAATGGCTACATCTATCCATCTTTTAGCCTCTCCATTTATATCTCTCTGTTACTTTACTTCCCTTTCTCTCTTAATCTCTGACACTGTGTTGGTTATCTTAGGCACCTGCTTAAATTCTGTAGAATTTAAATATTTTTCACCTGTCTCTTACCACACAAATATCAAAATTTGCAGATGTTGTTCTCCTTGGAACAAAGCAAGATTGAAGGAAGATTTGACATAGGTGTCAAGGTTATACTCAGTTGCAATAATTTTAACAAGGAAAATGCTTCCATTCACTAATAGCAGAAGTGTTATAAATATGAGATTTATAAACATTGTTATGTTTTGGGACTGTTTCTTCAATTTGAGGTAAAATAAAGAAGCTTTTGTGACCTGTTCTGAAGTCTGTCTGTCTAACAGTGGGTTTGGGCAAGGTGGTTGTTAAAGATTAAAGGGAGGCCCTAGATGTTTTGTTGGAATGAAGATGTAAGGTTTTCACACTTAGAAACAATGGCAACTGCATCTGTGTTTAAAGTGGTTAGACTGCTAGCCTCCAGAGTCCCAAGTAATTGTTGAGATTGTTGGGTTCCAGATATGCTTTACATACAAGGTTAGGCAGAAAGAGTGAAAAAATGAGACTGGGTGGTTTGCTGTACAGAGATTTGTCATGCACGTGAACAGAGTGCTGAGTGAATAATCTTGGCCTTCAACTGAGGTTCCCAGCATAACAGATGTCAGTCTTCAACAAATTCAATTCACTCCATCTAAAATGCTAAAAACACTGGATATTGGAAAGTCTGAGGACCCTCACAGCATTGTGGACATAGGGTGATAGACTCCTACAGCTTAGAAACACGCCTTTCAGCCCACCATGTTTGTACTGACAAACAAGGACCAAGTCACACTTACCACATTTACTTGCACCTAGTCCATAGCCTACAATTCCCTGGCATTTTAGATACTCATCCAGATGCTTCTTAAGTTGCAAGAGTACCTGCCTCCACCACGATCTCAGGCAACACATTCCATACAGTGGGTCAGTTTTTTTTTCTCAGATCTCCACTGAACCACTTACTCCACACCTTAAACTTATGTTCTCTGGTCTTAGACATGTCTGCTGTGGGGAAGGGATTCTCAAAATCTACTGTCTCCATGCCTCTCATAATTTTCTATACCACAATCAAGTACCCCCCTTAGCCTCCTCTGCTGTATGGAAAATAAACCCAGGCTGTTCAGTCTCTCATTCTCGACAATATCCTGGTGAATCTCCTCTGCACCCACTCCAATGTAATCACATCCCTCCAAAAATGTGGCAACCAGAACCACACACAGTATTCTATCTGTGGACTAACCAATGTTTTATAAAGTTGTAACAAAACTTTCTTGCTCCTATATTTTACATCCTGGTTAATATAGGCAAACATCCTGTATGCCTTCCTCACCACCCTGTCTAGTTGTGCTGACATCTTCAGTGATCCCTGTACACCAAACTCATGAGTGTCATTGTATATGTTATTCCCTCCTTAAATGCATCACATCACAGTTATCAGGATTAAATTCTGTCTGCCACTCCTCTGCTCAGTTTCCTCGCTGATCAGTATCAGACTGTGGCCTGAGCCCATCCTCCTCACTATCACAACAGCACCACTTTTCATGTCATCTGTAAACTCACTAAGAGCACCTTCCACATTCATATTCAAGTCATTAATGTACAAAACAAACATTAAGGGTTCCAGCATTGACCCCTGTGATACACCGCTAATCACAGGCTTCCAATCACAAAAAAACCACCTCCACCATCACTCTTTGCCTCCTATTTGCAAATCAATTTTGGATCCAGTTTTGCCAAATTACTTTGGATCCCATGGACCTTTTGGACCAGCCTCCCATGTGGATCCTTGTCAAAAGCCGTACTGAAGTCCACATAAACCACATCAACTGCACTACCATCATCAATATCTTCAGTCATCTCTTCAAAAACCTGTCAAATTAGTCAGAGAACATCTCCCTCTAACAAATAATTATTGATTAATCCTGTCATTCAGAATTTTTCCAATCATTTTCCGACCACTGACATCCAACTGAGTAGTCTGCAATTAGCTGGCCTATCCTGCAGCCTTTCCTGCACAAAGGAACTACATGAGCTATCCTCCAGTCATCTCTTCACCTGTGGCCAGTGAAGAATTAAATAAATCCACCAGGGCACCAGCAATGTCCTCCCTTACCTCCCAAAGCAGCCTGGGATACTTCTCATCAGCACATTTATGCTGTTAAAACATCTAATACATTCTCCTTATTAATCTAGAGCCTCAGTATCCCATCTGAAATCCATAGCTAAAAGGTCTTTCTCCGTGAATACAGATGAGAAGTATTCATTTAAGACTTCACCCACATCCACTGTATCTACGCTCAGGTTGTCCCTTTGATCCCTAATAAGTCCCACCCTTTCTGTGGTAATCCTTTACTCTTAATATAGTTATAAAATGCATTGTGGTTTTCCTTAATCCTACCTGCCAAGGATATTTCATGGTCCCTCTCTGCCCTCCTAATTTATCTTTATTATTTATACATTATTTACCCCCTACATTATTTATATTTTTGAAGTGCCTCCTCTGTTTTTAATGCACTGTTCCTGACATATACTTCCTTCTTTTTCTTTATCAAACTCTCAGTTTCTTGAATATGCTGCCCTTGCCTTTCACTGTTAGGAGAGCATATTGGCTTTGAATTCTCATCATACCACTTTTCAAAGACTCTTACTTTACCTGCAAGTAGTTGCTCCTAGTTTGTTTGCCAAATCCTGTCTAATGACATTTTAACTGGTCATTCCCAATTTAGATGCTTAGTTTCTGCATGATCCATATCCCTTTCTATAATGACTTTGAAACTTAGAGTTACGGCCACTATCCTCAAGATGCTCATTCACTGAAACTTCAACCACTATTTGGCCTCATTCCCAAGGTTAGGCATAGCATTGCCCCATCTCTTGTAGGACCATCTATGTACTGGCTCAAAAAGCTCTCCTGGATGCCGTTCAAAAATTCCACCCTGTTTAATCTTTTCACACTAAGATGATCCCAATTAATGTTAGCAAAGTTGAAATCCCCTACAACTATAACCAGCTTTCCCTCCCAGCTTTTTGTGATTTGCCTATACATCTGCTCCTCTATCTCCCTCTGACTGTTGGGAGGCCTGCAGTATAATCCTAGCAAGGTAGTTGCCCCCTTTTTTTTATTTCGATGCTCTACCAGGATGGCCTTATTTTAAACCTAAGCCGTCCTCCCTCAGTACTACAATCATGAGTTCCTTTATCAATATTAGAATGTTCCCACCTCACTCACTTCCCCAACTGCATCGCACCTATAATATCTATGCCATGAAAGTTGAGCTGCCAGTCTCACCCTTCTTTCAACCGTGTCTCAGTGATTACATCAATATCATATTCCCATGCGCTGATCAAAACTCTAAGTTTCTTTGCCTTGCCAGTCAAGCTCTTTACATTAAAATAGATTTAATTTAGCTTTCTGGACACCTCATGCACTTTATCCTGCTGCTGTCTTCTCCGCCTATTGGACTGTCCTAGCATTCTTTCTACATGGGATTATACCTTGTTCCCGATTTTACATCTACTCTGTGAGCCGTCTTGCTGTCAAATTAGTTTAAAACCTCCCCAACAACAAGGCTGAACCTGCCAGCAAGGTTATTGGGCTCTTTCCAATTCAGGTGCAACCTCTCCAGCTTGTAGAGATCCCACCTACCTTAGAAGCTGTCCCAATGATTCAAAAATCTAAAGCCCTCTCTCCTGCGTCACCTCTTTAGCCACATGCTCATCTGACCTTTCTCCCTATTCCTAGACTCAGTCGCCCATGTAACTAGAAGTATTCCAAAGATTACAACCTTGGTAGTACTCCTTTTTAATCTACTATCTAACTCTCCAAATTCTTGTTGCATATCATTGATACCAACATATACCATCACCTCTGATTCCTATTGAAGACTTGTGCTGCATAACTAACTTTGCCCTTAGACAAACTGTTCTTGTACAGTTACAATACTGGTATCTATACAATAATGTGGAAAGTTACGCACGTTGTCCTGTTCACATAAAATAGGACAAATCCAACCCAGCCAATTACCACCCAAGCAAACCACTCTCCACCCACAGCAAAGTGACAGAACATGTCATCGAGAGTGCTATCAAACTGCATTTCCTCAATGATCTGTTAAATTATTCATTTAGCTGCCGATTCCGCAATCCTGGTCTTTCACTAGGGAGCCATATTCACAGGCAATTCTTTGGCCCTGCCTCCAGCTGATGTTCAGTGTAAGTTAAAATTTGATAGTGTGTATGTACGCCAGAGATGAAAAAATATTTCTTCCCTTAGAGAGTCACTAGTGGTGCAGAGAAAGCCTCATCATTGACTATATATTGACAAGAAAGTCAAAGGTTATGGAGCAGGCAGAAAATTGGAATTTAGGAAATAATCCAATTGGCTATGATCTGTTGAATAACAGAGCAAAGTCAAAGAGTTGAATGGTCTCGCTCAGTTCTTATAATTCTTAATTCTTATGCTGTTTTCTTCTCTACTACTTCATTCTTTTATCAGCATTAGAAGAAGATTTTGACCTCCCAGTAGACTAACAAAGCTTCAAGTGAAACAACAAACAAATATCTGCAACTTTTCATACCATTCATTGGGACCTCTCTTTGTCTCCCACCAAAGATAGTGCAGATCAGGAGAATCCCTATGGAATTACATCTTTTCTTAAATGATGCAAAGATTTTCCAGTCATACACAATTGAATAATAAAC